GAACCGGAGAACCGGAGAACCGGACTGACGAGGTGAGTGAGTTAGCACACGGGGCTAACGGCGGAGCTAGCTCTCATTGGGAGTAAAGGCATCTCCTCCGAGAGGCGGCGGGGGGAAAAAAAACACAAAACCGGGGATCTGATGTAGGAAAACGAGGCCTAAAGGAAAACGCGTGTGGGTGACAACACGTCTGTGTAATTTGTATAAAATAACAAATCAGCCCCGGCCTGTTTAACACCGGGGAGCAGTCGGCGTTTGCTCGGTAAATGTGGACGATTTACCGAGCGAGGAGACTACAACCCGGTCGTGATATTATCCGCCTGTGAGGGTCGATTCATAAAAGTGTTTATTGACTGAGATTGCACCGCCGGACTGGTGATTAGTAACGTTTAGCTGAGCTCGGTAGCTCCCGTTTGTGTTGACGTTGAATCAGCCATTCAGTGTTTGGACTGATGCGTCCGAGCTAACACACAGCTAGCCACCAGATACACGAGAAGATATCTGCAGTTAAAGTTAACAGTTTTTATTTATTTATTTATTTATTTATTTGAGAAGCAACCACACAGTGTTTTATAAATGCTGTCTCATGTGGGGAGTGTTAGAGGCAAAGCTCACTTCAGCTGAGCGCTCAGGACTTTTGTCGCTTAACTTTAGGTTTTGTCTGTGTGTGTGTGTGTGTCTGTCTCTGTCTGTCTGTCTCTGTGTGTCTGTCTGTCTGTCTGTCTGATAGACTAACCTCAGCACTACTGCAGCTGCTTTGGGAGGCTTTTATTGCGAAAAACCTGGATCTGTGTTAACTGAAGATGAGTAATTATTTCCTCTTTTCATCATCATCAGTAATTTATAGTCAGGGACAGTCTGATAGAAAGCGTCAGAGCAGAGAACAATGGTCATTTTTTCCCATTTTTGAAACCTAATTTTATATAAATTTGGCAGAATGGTTAATAACACGTTTTCCTTTAGTGTGAGAAACTCAGAAATCATATTTAGTTTTGCTTTACACTGACTTTAATGTGGAATATAATAATAGTAATTATTTTATACAATTATAAAATATACCAATAAAAACCTGGATTGTTAAATAATTAATTTCAGTGATCTGACTGTGATCTGACTGTGATCTGACTGTGATCCAGTTGTGATCTGACTGTGATCTGGTTGTGATCCGGTTGTGATCCGGTTG